TGGCGGCTGCAGACTTCCAGGACCACGTCTGTTCCGCTTGGACACGACGCTAGTCAGGCCAATTCGGTGGGACCGGACACCTGGGTTATCGAAAAAAAAAAAAGATGGTGCGATTAGAAACAAATGAAAAAATTTAACAAAAAATCGATTGTTGATATTTTAATGGTTAAAACAGTATAAAGTAAAAGTTATTAAAATATTTAATAAAAACGCATTATACAATTTAACAAAAAAGTTATACTTACATTACCTCTCGTCAATTTATAGGTAGCAAGCAAAGCACCCCAAATTTACATGTGGTCAAATTTTCCATTAGTTATATCGTTGCAACATAATATTGATGAGATAATAACTTTCTGTTGAACAAATTTCCATTGCTAATTAATTATTAAAAAAATTTGGTTAACATAATTATTGATAAATTTACGACATAATTTATAAATTTTACTTAAAGTAGTATATAGTTTTTACATTTCATAACTCTTTCTAGGTAATTGGTCACTAATGATAGCAGGGTTTAAGAAGAATAGTAAAAAATATTAATTTATACAAAATAATTAAACTAGCTAAAAATGGTTTTTAATTGGTCATCAAATCCAACTCATTGCAAATCTTAAATTAATCAAAGACTGAATAGTAACAAAGATAAATGGATGAAGAGTTCCCCGTTATGTAAACACTAGATTTTGATTTAAAAGCTCTTTTATTAATATAAATTTTTTAACATAAAATATAATTATTAAAATTTAAAAGATAAATATTTGAGCATAAATATAATAAGCGATATACAACATATATATTGCCGACGATAATGTTTCTGTGATAAATAAATGGTTTGATATATATCACGTGGTAACAAAGATCACTTAAGAAATTCGCGAGAACAATAAATGACATCGATGACCATCTAATGATCCTTTATCTAATCTCTAAAAGAGTTTCTTTCTTATTCATATTCCATGAAAACATTTTTTAAAAAATTTTTGATGTTAATTATCGATTGTTGACCTAATTGTAGATATTATTTATGATTAAATATTGACCGAACATAACATCATTCCACATAAAATGTGAATATACCGATATACCGTGTTTTATGAATATTATTTAGTCCAAAGGTACATCTATAATACCATGATGCTAGAACAGTTTTAACGAACTTGTTTTACCCATTAAAGCAAGTGTATCGAACCATTAGATAAATCTCGATTAAGTCATCAATGTGTCTATATTATCTCACTTTCCATGATTACATGGCCAAACCGTAAAGTCCAACTTTGAATCTAATAATCTGTTTAAAAAATTATGTCATGTATTTTTCTAATAACTTATTCGTCGTTTCACACAATGAATGAGATTTCAAAGATTTTATCTTAGTCATGTGCATTATCTTTCTAAGTTTAGAAATTTATTTCCACACACTTTTAACTACCAATTCTTTCGTCATCTTCTATGATAAACTCGTTGCTTCTCGACATCTACTTTTTTCTCCTCTAATTAACTCACATATAATATATATTGAACAGTGATTTGATTTTCAAGACGTATCATAACTATTTTCTCCTTAATTCTTATCTTTCAATACTCAAATTTTTGGGTCAAAAGCATTTGATTCAATTGATGAAATATCAAACTTCTTTTTCTTTTTGATAATGTTATAAAGTTATAGTTTCAGTTGAGAATATGCTACACAAATTACATATCACATTTTTTTTAACGGCTTACATATCATTTTTTATATATTATTTATTCTTATAAAGAGGGATGATAATGTTTAAATTTTTAAATTTTTTTTTTAACTTCACAAGATAAAGTGTGAGACTTACAATATCTTCGTCTTAAATTATAAATTTAAATTGAATTTAATAATTTTTTATTTTTAAAGTAAAAATTTAATAATAAATAAAAATATGTACTATATTGTTCTTAAAAACTAATGTTTTACTTTAAATTTTATTTCCTTGTTTAAAATTTTACATATAAAATTACTTAAATTTAGTTTTATTCTACCATGCATTTAAATTTACTTCCATTCAAAAACTCATTAATATATTTAAGAATTTGAAGTATGATCATTTTTCATTTTTATCTGTTAAAAGTTGAATTATTTTATTACTACTAATAAAAAAATTTATAGTATTCTTTTTATTATTTTAACATCTTATATATTTTACATAATTCATTTTTTGTTTATCTAATTTTTCTATTAATTATAAGTAACATAAATATATTCTAACATGCATTTAAATTTACTTCCATTCAAAAAATCATTAATATATTTAAGAATTTGAAGTATGATCATTTTTCATTTTAATCTGTTAAAAGTTGAATTATTTTATTACTACTAATAAAAAAATTTATAGTATTCTTTTTATTATTTTAACATCTTATATATTTTACATAATTCATTTTTTGTTTATTTAATTTTTCTATTAATTATAATAACATAAATATGCACTAATATTTAAAATTTATTTTAATGTAAATAAATAGTGTTGCTTATGTGGATGATGATATGGATAGCCTAAATGGAGAGAAAACTCTCTCATTATATATATAGATTTTTGTTTATTTAATTTTTCTATTAATTATAAGTAACATAAATATGCACTAATATTTAAAATTTATTTTAATGTAAATAAATAGTGTTGCTTATGTGGATGATTATGTGGATAGCCTAAATGGAGAGAAAACTCTCTCATTATATATATAGATTTTTGTTTATTTAATTTTTCTATTAATTATAAGTAACATAAATATGCACTAATATTTAAAATTTATTTTAATGTAAATAAATAGTGTTGCTTATGTGGATGATGATGTGGATAGCCTAAATGGAGAGAAAACTCTCTCATTATATATATAGATTATAAGAACTTTTTGTGTAATTCTCATATATGATTTAATATTTTTTATTTTTTTTAATATATGCTTTTGTCTAAATCGCATCTATGATATTTTCTTAATGTCGTAGTTTTGATATTTATTATATTTTCTATTTGATATTCTATATTTGTAATATTTTCTTAATAATATTTTATGTAGTTTGAGCATACAATCTATATTATTAATGTTTATAAAGTATGATATTTCATATATTCTACTCTATACAAATAATATATTGTTTTATGTTGTAAACACCTAATATTCAATTCGCCTATGTAGTAAATAAAGAAACACTCGCCTATGGCATTAAACTCTTGGACTCTCAAGTTTTTGAGTTTGGCAGGACGGTTAACTCTTATCTCCTCTGTTATCTCGGGAATTATCGGTTTTTGGACTAGTGCTTTCTTCCTTCCTAAGCAGGTTATTAAGAAGATCAATGGCCTGTGCAGCTCCTTTCTTTGGCGTGGAAAGCTGGATATATCTGCAGGTGCAAAAGTGTCCTGGTATAATGTATGTTTCCCTAAATCTGAAGGGGGACTTGGATTGAAACACATTGGTAGTTGGAACGAGACTTGTGGCTTGAAACTTTTTTGGATGCTGTTTTTTAAAGCTGGTTCTTTATGGGTGGCATGGATACGAAGTAAGTATTTGTCTACGGCTCCTCTTTGGGCGCTCAATGAAAAAAATGTTGTCTACTCTTGGGTGTTTAGAAAACTACTTAAGCTTCGTCCCAAAGCTCTTAAATTTCTTAGCATCACTATTGGAAATGGTGACTCTACCTTCTTCTGGTGGGATCCATGGACTCCCTTTGGCTCTCTTTATCATTTTCTTGGTTCAGATGGCCCTACTCGTTTGGGGATCCCTTTGTTTTCAACTGTAGCTGAACTTCGAATTGCGAACGGTTGGTCTCTCCCAAGCGCTAGAACAGAGAGACAAGTTCTTCTCCACTCTTTCATATCTACCATTACCATGTCATCAACAAATGATACTCCAATTTGGACAATCGATGGTCTTCCTTACAAGTCTTTCTCCTCTAAAGCTGTATGGAATGCTATTCGGATTTCAAATCCAAAACGATTTTGGGCCCCTCTTTTGTGGCATAAGGCTGCCATTCCAAGACATGCTATCTCCTCATGGCTGTTTATGCTCAATCGTAATCCTACTCTTGATCGTTTGTCATCTTGGGGGTTTGATGTTGAGTTGGATTGTCTCCTCTGTGGTATGGCCCAGGAATCACGGAACCATCTGTTTTTTAACTGTGTTTTCTCTGCTGAAGTTTGGAGATTGATTACTCAAAGGCTTGGGTTCTCATCTCCTCCGATTCTATGGGATCATATCCTTTTTTGGCTATCAACAATTTCAGGATCCAAGTACAAGAAACTTGCTCTCCTTCAAGGTTGGCAGGGAGCAATCTATGAACTATGGCGGGAAAGAAATCGGCGTTTCCATGATGGTCTCTCTCTTTCTCCGGTTATAGTAGCAAAGCACATTATTTCCACTATGGAAAACAAGTGTAATGCATTGAATCAGCTGGGCTTTAAGCATGGGATCTCAATTCTTCAATGCTGGACCATCTAAGGTTTTGGAAAAAGGCAGAAGTTAGGATCTGTTTTTCTCTTTTTTATTAGGTTTCTTTGTTCTGAATCCTTCTTTCTCTTAGCACTTGTTGCTAGTTCTGATCGTAATATCTTGCTTCTTTGTATACTTTTCTTTTTGTTATTAATGAAAGCCTTTAACAAAAAAAAAAACACCTAATATTGTTATATCTCCCAAGTATCTTTTCTATAGATGTCATCGTTTCATTTCTTACACGGTGCTACAGTGTATCTTGACTTATTTAACACGAATAAATGAAGTAAGTGTTAATCACGTACAATTGATGAGGAAGGCCAAATGCATTATTGAATACGCTAGCTTTTGTTTTCACTCTTTAATCAGTTACGTCGTCGTCAGGAAGTCATTGCGTTTAGACTTTTCATCAATGCATTATGCTTCACTTTCTTTGTTCTTGATTATGGCTAAGTCTTGGCCGCCTCTTTCATTTGTTTTGGTTTAAATACTAATACTATTGTGGAGTATGTTTGGAGACTTTGACACAGTCAAATCACCGAAGCTACCCAAGGAACACGCCAAAGACTCTCTTTAGTATACATATAGCACTAAGCTTATATATATGGGTTTGATCCTATAAACCCTCACTCACTACCTTTACCAAAAACCGATAGCCAAGAACTTTTGTTTTCCTTTGTCTTTCTGAAATCATGGATCGATTTCCGTTCTTGAATGTTGTAATGGAGGGATTGGGTATTCTACATGAAACCCGCAAATTGTTTCTCAAGAACAAAAAAATGTCGATGATGTTCTCAGTCTTGGTATTCCCCTTCTTACTCAATTGTTTAGTTTTCTTGTTTAACCAAACGTTTGTGGGTTTTTCATACATCTTCATGGCAGTATTCCCCATTATTAACCTCTATTCTGATCTAGTCACCGTTCACGCATCAGCTCTTACTCTGAAAAATGAAAACATCAAGATCAAATATTTTCCGGTTATGACCTTTAAATCTTGGAAGGGACCTCTTGTGACAAAATTCTATATTGCTCTTTTCATTCTTGGCTATGGGTTCCTATACGCTATAATTTTTTGTCCTCTCTTAGTGTTTTCTTCAAAACTTTTTTTCTTGGTAGCCAAGTCTGTCCCTTTATTGATTCTATTGGAAGTCTATGAGTCCTATTTAGCTATCGTTTGGAACTTATCTATGGTCATATCGATACTAGAGGAAACTTATGGGATCAAAGCTTTAAGGAAAGCTGCAAAGATTGCTAAAGGGATGAAGCCAAAAATATTTCTCTTGAATCTTTCCTTCCATTTATTGACATTCGGATTAGGTCAAATCTTGCAGCTGATAAATTGGAGAAGATCTTTCTCGGTTACCTTAGCCACTGGTTTAGTCTTTGTGTGTTTGGACTTTGCGCTGAGGATGTTTCAGCTTGTGACTTACACCGTTGTCTATTTCCAATGTAAGAGCCTCCAAAGCAAAGATGTTGAGTCGCTCGGAGATGTGGAATATACGAAATTGTCCTCCAATACTGTCATGGGATGATTGGCATGATATTCCAAGAGAAGGGGCCCAGATGATATTTAATCGGTGGATTTGTTTGTTTATCTTGAGAATATTTAAGTTGACCATTGACTTGGAAAATTATTTTTCAAGCCTTTTTTTTTTTGTCATAGTTGAATAATAAAAAATTTGGTTGATTATATTGTTTTAAGATTTTGTTATACACATGTGTAGAGAAAACTGAGAATAACATTTGCTTTTAAAAGAAAAAAATTAACATAAGAATTTGAGAACCGAGTTTACGGCTAACCCCTACGTCTCGGAGAAGGACTCTTGCTCCGAAGCTTCACTATATCACTAACTTGTGATGTCTTTGGTTTTTTTTTCCACCAGGTTTTACACACATGAATATTTGGAGGTTGTTTCAAAGAGAGATCGGAGAAACACTAGGGCACTTGGCCCAAAACTTCACTAATTTTCGATGTGTAGAGACATCTTTTGTTGGAACGTCCGCGGGTTTAATAAGCAATCACATAGAAGCGGTTTCAAGAAGTGGTGCTATAGTATTAAGCCCATTTTTGGTAGTCTCATTGAGACTCATGTTAAAAGGCCGAAGATCGCAAAGTTTGTTAATGCGTTACTTCCGGGCTGGTTTTTTGAAGACAATTACAATTTTTCAGAGTTAGGAAAGATTTGGATCCTTTGGCACCCTAGTGTTAAGGTGGTGATTGTGTCGAAGTCTCTTCAAATGATTACATGCGAGGTTCAATTTCCGGATAATCCTGTTGGGTTCATTGTGTCTTTTCTCTACGCTTCAAATGAGCAGGCTGTCAGAAGCGTCTTGTGGTCGGAGATTGTTACTTTGGCTTCTTCTCCGACTGTTTTGGGAAAGGCTTGGGTGGTTCTTGGTGATTTCAACCAAATCCTTTTGGCCTCTGATCATTCATCTCGAACAGATCAAAACATGGACAGTGCTATGAGAGCCTTTGGTAATACTCTATCATACTCTTCTCTCTTTGACCTAAACTTTAGAGGTTGCTCCTTCGCATGGTGGAACAAAAGAATTGGAAATCCTGTTGCAAAAAAGATTGACAGAATCTTGATAAATGATGAATGGCAAGCTCTCTTTCCTCTCTCCACTGGTTTCTTTGGAGCCCCAGAATTCTCTGATCACTCTCCAAGCACCATCACTCTAAATTCGGCTCAGCCAAGGCGCAAAAAACCCTTCAAGTTCTATAACTTTCTTCTGAAGAATCATGACTTTCTCTCTTTGGTGTGCAACAGTTGGTTCTCCTTAAATGTGGTTGGGTCTGAAATGTTCAGGGTCTCTTCAAAGTTAAAGGAATTGAAAAAGGATATCATGTCATTTAGCAAGCTTAACTATTCTGATTTGGAGAAAAGAGTTCAGGAAGCCTTAGTTGTGTTGACTGACGCTCAGCTGAGTATGCTTTCCAACCCTTCAGTCGCTAATGCAGCTGTCGAATCTGAAGCAAACAGAAAGTGGGAAATCCTCGCAAAGGCTGAAGAGAGCTTCTTCTACCAGCGTTCTAGGATTAAGTGGATTGATGAAGGAGACCAGAACTCGGCTTATTTTCACAGAATCACATCAACAAGACAAGGTTTAAATCACATTCATTTTCTGGTTGATGACAATGGTTGTTCTATTGAGTCGCAGCATGGCATTCAAAATCACTGCGTTGACTACTTCAAGGGTCTCCTAGGTAGTTCTGAGGGCCAGTCGCTTTTTTGTCAAGATGATATTACTGCTTTGCTGAATTTCAGTTGTTCAGAGGAACAAAAAACAGGACTGGACCAATTGTTTACAATGGAAGAGATTAAAGCAGCGTTCTTCTCCCTCCCAAAGAACAAGACTAGTGGTCCAGACGGGTATTCCGCAGAATTCTTCACAAGCTGTTGGAGTGTAATAGGAGCTGAGGTTTCTGCTGCTGTTTCTGAATTTTTCTCCTCTGGCACTATGCTAAAGCAATGGAACGCCACAAACTTGGTGCTTATTCCGAAAATTCAGAATGCTTCAAAAGTCTCGGAGTTTAGACCGATTTCTTGCCTAAATACAATGTACAAGGTGATCTCAAGGCTTTTATCCAACATGCTAATATCAGTTTTGTGTTCAGTAATCTCTCATTCTCAGTCAGCATTTATGCCTGGTAGGCTTTTATCTGAAAATGTCCTACTTGCTTCAGAGATTGTCCAAGGCTATAACTGGAGAAATATTGAACCAAGAGCTATGCTTAAAGTCGACATCAGAAAGGCCTTCGATTCTATCAGGTGGGATTTTGTTTTGGCATCTCTTGCAGCTTTAGGCTTTCCGGACATATTTATAGGCTGGATAAAAGAATGTGTTTGTTCTCCTTCCTTCTCGATTGCTGTAAATGGTATGACTGCAGGGTATTTCAAAAGCTCCAGAGGTTTGAGGCAGGGTGACCCACTCTCACCATATCTCTTTGTTTTGGCAATGGAGGTGTTCTCAAAGTTATTGTCCTCCAGATTTGCTTCGGGTTATATTTCCTTTCATATCAAAAACTGCTGATTTGGAAATTTCGCATCTAATGTTCGCAGACGACGTCATGGTCTTCTTTGATGGTAGCTCTTCTTCTCTTCATGGTATTTATGAGACCCTTGAAGACTTTGCGGGCTGGTCAGGCTTAAACATGAATAGAGATAAGACGGTTCTCTTCCAAGCTGGTCTCTCTCAAAGAGAGATTGATGTATCTGCTGTCTACGGATTTTCTACGATGACTCTACCTGTTAGATACCTTGGCTTTCCATTAATGTCCAGGAAGCTGAAAATAAATGAATACTCCCCTCTTTTGGAGAAGATCATTAGCAAGTTCAATGGTTGGGCTGTAAAGTCTTTATCTTTTGCAGATCCCAACTAATTGCTTCGGTGATTTACGGGTCTGTGAATTTTTGGATGTCTACATTTATGCTCCCCAAGGGTTGTATTAGAAAGATCGAATCTCTCTGCTCACGCTTCCTCTGGTTGGGAAACATCGATACTCATTCTAAAGCGAAAGTTGCTTGGTCAACGGTTTGCCTACCAAAGAAGGAAGGAGGCTTAGGTCTGCGAAAGCTCTCTGTTTGGAACACAACACTTTGCCTGCGACTCATTTGGCTGCTCTTCTCAAACAGTGGCTCTCTTTGGGTTGCTTGGCAGTCTCATCATCACAAGCTGGATTGCTGTAGCTTCTGGGATTTAAAGCCAAAGAGTACAGATTCTTGGTTCTGGAAAGGTCTGTTGAAGCTGCGGGGTCTTACTCATAAATTTATCCGCTGTCATCTTGGTAATGGATCAAAAGCTTGGTTTTGGCATGACTTTTGGACTCCACTTGGCCCTCTAATTGACGTTTTTGGTGCTGAGGGTCCGAGAATACTAAGAGTTCCACTGAACTCAAGAGTTATTGATGCTTATAATTGGAGAGGAAGGAACCTTGCCCCTGCAGGGTCTGATAATGCTGTCTCCCTCCACGCTTACTTATCTTCTATTGGTACCCCAATCCGGGGTCTGTAGAGGACTCTTTTGACTGGGCTATTGATGATAAGACTTATGGGAGTTTTTCGGCAAGTAAGACTTGGGAATCCCTGAGACCAAGAGAGCCGGAAAAAGATTGGGCCAAAACCGTTTGGTTTAAAGGCCACATTCCAAGACATGCTTTCAACTTTTGGATTGCTAATATGGATAGGTTACCCACTATGGCGCGTCTTGCTTCATGGGGTTTACAAGTTTCTTCTGTTTGTAGTCTATGTCGGGCTGCAACTGAAACTCGAGACCACTTATTTCTCCATTGCCAATTCTCTCGAGTCATCTGGGACAGAATTATGCACAGGATTCGACTTTCTACAACAACTTTTGCTAGCTGGTCTTCTTTGGTTGTTTGGGCAAAGGCGAGTTCTGCTGCTTCTCCTAGAACTCTGCGAATTCTTCTGATTCAAGCGCTAGTTTATTGTGTCTGGAGACAGAGAAACAACATCATTCATAACCAAATCATCATACCGCCGCTCACTATCTTCAGAGATATTGACCGCCAAATCAAGAACTCAATCACAGCCAGGAGGAAAAGGAAAAACTTTAGACACCTTATGGCCCTGTGGATCTAGATGGATCATATCTTTCCTGTACTCTTCAGATTTATTCGGTAAGTATCGATCTAAAGATAGAGGTGTGTGAGTTAACCTTTTATTTTCCCGGTTTAGAATCCCACATACCTAAATACTTGATTGATTGCGATAAGTTGTTGCTATGTGGGACGGAGAAAGGAGCTGTGGTTTGGAACCCTTGCTTGAGACAGAGTAGATGGATTGAGCAAGATTTAAACCAAACTCGAATGGAAGCCTATGGCATAGGATACAACAATAAGGGGAGTTACAAGATCGTTGCTGGTTGTTGTTGGAAGGAACATCCCACCAAGAGCTTGTGGACAATCCATGACTTTGCCTCCAATGCATGGAAAGACCTCGAGTTAGATTCTGGTAATAGGAAGTTAGATTCTGGTATTAGTAAGGAAGAAAAAAGGCCTATATTACACAACAAAAGTACTGGTGTATCGTTGAACGGAAATTTGTATTGGATTACTTTTTATGACAAGACTGATCCCGTGTACAACCTATATAAATTCAATTACTCGAGCGAAAAGTTCTTCAGATTTTGTGATCTACCATGTGGAACGACGGACTATCTTAAGGATGCTCTTGTCCTCAAGGTTTTTGAGGGAGATCGTTTTTCATTGTTAAAGCAATGCCATGCAACAAAGAAGATTGAGGTTTGGGTGAGCAAGTACAAGATTAATAATAATTTGGATAGTGAAGATGTGGAATGGATAAAGTTCATGGAAGTGTCAAGTCCTAACTTGCCGGATTTAGTAGATCCTAGATACTCTCAGCCAAGTTACTTCATCGAAGATAAAGGCTCGTAGTGTGCTCTTGCGATGAAACTGGTCGGGCTTTGATCTATGTTTTCGGGGAAAATAAGTTGGTCAGTAAAACTCAAATAGATTATGTGGTTGATCCTTGGCCTTCGCACTCTACATTTATTCCCAGTTTGGTGCCTGTTCCTCGAGGTCAAAGAGAAGAACTAGCAGAACTACAAGTTTAAATTTACGTACTTTTTTGGCTTCTTGGTTGGTGAGAAAGCTAAATTTGATTAGGATTTTAGTTTTTTTATTCACAAACTATCTTATTTGTTGCAACTAGAGATTTTTGCTAATTTTGCTTCTTCTTCTCTTTTTTTGCAAAATGAATTCTTAATTTCTTATAGAACAAACTAGAGAGAATGGCTTTCATTCTCGTAGTCTTGGCTTTGATCCGGAAGTAATATTCTTTCGAAAACTTTGTTAGCTTTCACTTCTTGTTGGGTCAAATATTTCTAAGCTTGTTTAATAGTTTTAAAATGGTTTTGTTTAGGTCTTTGCAACAAAAGAATTTTTCGCTGCTGTTCCACATGTTATCATCTGTTCCTAATTTTGAGGAACTATATTGTCTTAATATGAATTACCAACATATATCAAAGAAACACCATCTTCTTTCAATAATGAAATATCACCATGTTCCTGAGTGTTCTATATTTGACCCCGACACGAAATTTGGCTTATACTGTATTTACTTACCTTATACATTGGTGAGTCTCGTAATTCAATATTCCAATATTAATAGTAAGATAAACCCAGTTTTTCAAAACCATTTAAAGTCCATGCAAACCGGAGGCATCAAATTTACCAAGAATCACAATTGGTTAAACATATATGGTTTCAGTTGAGAGATGGTCAGCTATTCTTTTTCTCTCACTTGGTTAAGAGACTGATGCCTTCAAGAAAATTGAGTTCATATGTAGGATAAGCTTGACCACTATCTTTTTTTTTTTTTAATGTAATGTTAAATTAAGAAGGAAAAAAATATATGTTTTTACAACTAGTGCAACATTTGGCTTAAGCTGAGAAAACTGAAATCGAAACAGAAAATCAAAAAATCAGAATGTTTTTCGCTTAGAGTCTCGACTCAAACCATCTTTGAAGGCCTTTCTCATAACGTCTATCACCAGCGGCTCTTATCTCTGAAAATTGATTCCGAAGTTGCTTATCTATCCAAGTGATTAGTTGATTTGGTGTGCTGGGGTTCTCTCCGTGTCTTCTCCCGTTTCGCTCACGCCATATAGTGTAGACCGTGGCTTGGAAAACGTATCTAACAATGAAGTTTTCGATTTGATCGTTCCACTTATTTGAAACAGAGTTGATTAGTGAGGCCCAGCTCGTCGAATGATTACCTTGTTTTTAAAATGTTTTTGGCTACTGCTCTCCAGACCTGTGAGGTAAACCTGCAGCTAAAAAACAAGTGATCCCGAGTTTCAGAACTTGCATTGCAGAAGACACAGCTCGTCGACCAAACCCCCGTTGAGAGTTGTTCCGTGTTTCCAGCCAGACACAAAAGGAAAACTTAGGTGTTCCGTTAGTGAACCAAACCCCGCTGTGCCAAGCGACCCTAGCTGAGGTGGTACGGGTGTGGTTCCACGTGTCTTTAGTGGAGAAACTTTTTTTTTTTTTTTTTTTTTTTTTAATATATTAATAATTCCCAAAAAGGGCTTAGGCTGATGGGCCTAGAAAATTAACGGGTTACAAAAAGAAATGGCCCAATCAGAAACACAAGCAAAGTGAGATCTGAAGAAGGCAGTACACCGGAAAACACGAATCTCGCCTTCCAGATCCGATGCTAACAAGGACGGTTCCTTTGCGGACAAGACCTCAACAGCAAGACTTTGACCGGAGCTAGCAAATCCGGTCGCAACCTGTCGCCGAGACACAAACCGAACCCAGAACTTTCCTTTCGGGAAAGGAAGATCCGCCACAACCGAGACCCAGGACCTCTTCTCCCCGACCTAGCAAGAAGAGAGACATCAAAACTAACCCTTACTTCCCTCGACGTTCTTCCTTGAACCACTCCAAAAGCTAAATCAGTCTTCAGATCCGGCAAAGAGGAAGCCAAAAACGGAGGCAGCTGATGGACGCCGGCTCAAAACAAGCCATCAACCGCCCAAATCCGGCCAAGGATCACCCGAAACTAGCCATCTAGGATCCTGCCAAGGAGCCACCGTTAACCTCTTCGCAAAGTGGTGAAACCCACCGATCGAAAGCTCAACTTCCGCTACTCGCCGGAGCCACAATCACAAGCCGCCGAGCCGTGAGAAACAAGATCCAATCTACTGTTGTCCTTAACCAGCAGAACGAAGGAACCGCTTCTCTGGCCGCCGTGAAGGAGAGCCACCAACAAGCAATGAGCCAAAGACCAAACCACACCTCACACCACCGGAGAAGAAAGACGCTCACCACCGCTTCACTCCCTCACCCATCAACCGACACTGAAGATCAATAAACGAAAAAAGAAAAAAGGAGATGAAGTAGATCTAAGATCTGGCTTTAGGAGAGAGAAGAGAGGGTTTCAATGGGAACGATTGTCCCTTTTTTTAGTGGAGAAACTTGGTTTGAATACATCAGATTTCCCTCTCCAAAGGGTTTTGTCCTCCCCTGTTTTCATGTTTTGCTTTTTAAGTTCCAACGCATCTTCTATCAAGTTCTAATAGACAGCTCGATGCCTTCTCCGATGGCGACCTGTCCTTGCTTCTGCAACTGATGCTTGTCTCCTTATTCCCATATCAATTACCCCTCTGTCCCCTGCAACTTCGATTAGGCGGCCCAGGTTTGACCAGTCATCGTACCAGAACGATGTCGTCTCTCCATTCATAACTTCGACCTTACAAAAACGCTTTGCTACATCCCTGAATTTGATTAGTTTTTTCCACATCCAAGACCCCATGCTTGACCACTATCTGAACATAAGAGTTATTTTAAAAAAAAATTCAATAACGTTAGCATTCACTCAAAAACACATATACATAGTGTATAGCGTCGTATCCATTAACCTAAACTCTTTCCTTCATGATTTACGCTCTCTTTACTGTAAAATTCTTGCATTTTTTTGTAGTTAATGTTACATGTTATCTCTAGGACCCGACGGTCAACTCTCTTTAGGTACAGAGATATACAAAGTTGTGGGCAACAGGATCCGACAGTCTCACAGCACGTTTCTACCAAAATTACTGGGAGTGAGTAGGTGCATACGTCATTAAAGAGGTTAGGTTCTTTAACAAACCTACAATGCAACCATGCATGTATTAATTATCATACCAAATATATGTACGATTCCTAAGATTGAGAAGCTAGTTTTACGCTGTCACACTATAGACATATTGGTCTGTGCAATTTTTATTACAAAATCAGATCCAAGTTTCTTGTGGCACGTTTGAAATCCTACTTAAACACCATTATCTCAGAGTCGCATGCGGCTTTCATTATGGGTCGAATGATCTCAGATGATAGAGGCAAACTGCAAGCACATTCTTGACTTGCAAGGCTTAACGAAACATAAAAAAATACTACTCTTTTGAGTCTTATGGAGAAAATGGGAGTCGAGAAACAATTTCCTCTTCAATAGTACGAGACATTGAATTGGCAAACGAATGGAGCTAACAATAAAAACAAAAAAAAAAGAAGGAGTTACTGTGAAAAGTTGTTATTTTTTTATTGAAGGGACATCAAAAAATTTAGGGTGAAATGTTTTCAAATAAAATGTTAAACTATTGTACACTAGAGGTTTAAACGACTACGTGCATATACAATATATACATGATGGTATTACGATAAAACAAGTACCAATAAATGTAAAATTTCTCTTTTTGCCTAGTTAATGTTCCTTAATGACTAAATGTAAAATTTCCATTTTTTTCAAGTTAATATTCTTTAACAAATGTAAAACTTACAAATTTCCCCGATGTTTACATATAATATAATATTTTGTGTTGACGATATATGTATATAAATATAATTTGTAACCGGAAAAAGAAGAAGACGAGAGAAAAAAAGTAAGAAAGAAAACATTTGTCTGTGTGGTGAAAACACAATATGGACTATGATCTAATCAAAGTTATCGCAATCTTGGGCGTTCCAGCAGTCATCATCATCATTTTGATGTTGGTTTATGCATGGTTTGTCAGTCGCGGTCGAGCAAAGATTGAACCCAATGTGATATGGAGCTGAGCTTAATATGTAATCCGTAGCTATTTTATCTTACGTGTTTTTGTTTTTCTTAATTGATATTACAATTTATCGCCTTTTTTCCATTTGTTTTTATTTTATTTTTATATATGAATTATTCTATGATGAAATCGTTAGATTAACATCGTATAGAATATCATATCGATAATGCAACGCTGCAATGTTTATTTATAAATTACGGATTGTTTTTTTTGGTGCAATGATATTAAAAGTTGGGCAATTTACACAAATGGCACTAAAAAGGTATATTATTCCAAAAATGGCACTTTCTTTTGAAACTTCCAAAAATAGCACACAAAGTTTAGAAAATACACAAACCTACCTAATTTCATTTCTTCCAAACCCGACGACTTCCAAAAACATGTCGCTTTCGACGACTCCGTCGCTCACCGGATCTGATTTCTTCACCGGAGATTCGAAGACTTTGCCGGAGATCCGCAGTTTCGTCAGATTCATTAGGCGTTATCTCATCCGACGCCGATTGTGCAGGAAAATTGGATTCATTAGGCGCCTCCGCCGGAATCTGGAACGTCTCTGCTGGAATCCTCTTTACTCCGGCACCAGCACTCTTGCTCTGGTAAACTAAACTATCTCTCTCTCTCTCCCCCGATCAATTTCTCGATCCGTATCCTTGACTTGTCTTTTTTTTTTTGTATCGATTTAGGTTGCTCGTGCTTCGGCTTTTGGGTTGGTTCTTATCTATCGCAACATCAAGCTCAAGGCTTTGAAGGTACATCTCTATCCCCTTGTCTTGTTTTTATCAGATCCTGAAGAGCTTCAAAGTAATGGATTTCTGCGAATTGTTACTCTTGTTAACCCGATTTAGCTGTGTCTTGTTAAATTTGGAATCTTTATCTCGTTTATGAATGATTTGATTATGGGTTAGCTTTGAATGTAGTGCTCTTTTTTTTGAATGAATCTAATGTCAGCAGAATGCTTTGAGTTTTTGACGCATGTGTTGTTTATAGATTTTGTTGCATTCAAGATGATCTATTGAAGATTTTTGTGATCTATTGGACTGATACATTACAAGCTAAGACAGTTTAAGACTAAGACTGTTCTGTTTAAGACTAATACAATTTAAGACTAAGACTGTTTAAGACTAAGACAATATAAGATTAGTTTATCACTTTAGATGAGTTTAGTTTTTGTCACAATTTGAGAGATATATTGTCACATAGTTATAGATTCAAGTTTGTGATATGAAGATATGAATAAACATTCTTTACTTGTTTCTGTAGTGTTATTGTCTGTTCTCTTTGCTTGATAGAGTTGTTTTAGTTTGCATTCTAGAAAGGTCTTCCTGATTCGGGAAGGTCTTCCTAATTCGGGAAGGACTTATAGTAATTCGGGAAGGTCTTCCTGAATATTTATGTTTACTGATTTCCTTTAATTTTAGTTGCAGGAAAATGGGAGATTCGTTTCCAACAGATGTCAAACTGCCAACGCTTCTGTACAATATAGGACAAGAGCCAAATTCAAATGATGGGATAAATCAATGTGTAAGATATGAGTATATCGATAAAGTACAACGCATCTTCTCTGCTACAGAGTTTCAGAGAATCAGAGAATTGAAGATTTCTCCAAGCTGCGTGATATAGATTCAGAAGACATCAGAAACAAGTTGGTTGTGGATATCTTCAATGAGTGTGTTAAGATTTCTTAGGACTATCTTTCTTTATTGGATGTATGATGCTTGTGAAACCGTTTTAGACTGTTTTGGTACTTCTATGATGGTTCTGAACTAGAAAAGTATCATCTGTTTCTATTTATATTTTTTTTAGATATTCAATGTATGGTATTTTGTCAGATACCATATGTTTCGTACAGATTATCCACTCAGTTGTATGCTCTCAGCATATCCTTTGCATCTTAACTGTGCAATTTGTGAAAGATTTGAGGCAAATTATGCAAAAGTAAATAATTTTTGAAATTCAGGAAGGGTTTTCAAATATTCAGGAAGGTCTTCCCTAAAAAAAACCTGTAATAGTTACTTCCACCAAGATTCAAAACCGGGACCTATTGTTTTTGTAATAGAACATGTAACCAGTGAGCCAAGCTTCTAATTATAAGATCTTATACAAACGAACGTTTATATTTCTATGAAACACGAAACACATCATGACATAAAAAGAGATTTTATAACTTCGCAGTAGCTTGCCTATGATTTTCATTTCTGTGTGTAGTGTCACATGTGTGCTCATGACAATACTTTTCACCACAAAGAAATCACAAGAGTCTACCCTTATTGCACGCATCCTCAAAGTACATTTATCATCTACAGATACCAAAACCACTCTCTCTTTGTTAGACCATCGATACCTAAACTCAAACTTATACTCCAACTCCCATGTCCTCATCTTCTGCATTAACTCAGCCTTGTTCATGAAATATTTATTAACATATATATCATCAGCACCTTGTGTTGAATGTACACCGCCTATAGGAATCAGACTACGATCAGGAGCAGGAAGCAAATCCAATGACTTATTGCCTATTCCCTTTTCAGCCGTTGAACATGTATCACTATATGGCACAGAGATGGAAGAAATTCCGACTGTTGGATGAGGTTCCTACAAACGCAAAAATAGATAAGCATATGAACAAAGAGGTAAAATTGAAAAAAGGACGACTAGAAACGGATCATATCTGTATATTGTAGTATTTAGGAAGGTCATCCTAAAACTAAATGTATCCTTCCTAAAACCTATGAAATTGAGTTTTTACCTTCTGGTTTTCATGTGCAGTAGAGATAAAAGAAGTTCCAACTGAAAGATGAGGTTCCTACAAACACAAAAATAGATAGGCATATGAAAAAGAGTTAAAATTTAAAAAAGACGACTAGAAACTGATCATATCTGTATATTGCAGTATTTAGGAAGGTCATCCTAAACCTAAATGTATCCTTTCTAAAACCTATGAAATTGAGTTTTTACCTTCTGGTTTTCATGTGCAGCAGAGATAGAAGAAGTTCCAACTGAAGGATGAGGTTCTACAAAACCAAAAATAGATAGGCATATGAATAAACAGTTCAAATTGAAAAAAAAAAGACGACTAGTTAGGATCATATCTGTATATTGCATTATTTAGGAAGGTCATCCTAAAATTAAATGTATCCTTCCTAAACCCTATGAAATTGAGATTTTACCTTCTGATTTTCATGTGCAGCCGTTGAATGTGAACTTCCTATAGGAATCACAGTAGAATCTCGAGCAGGAGGCAAAAATAATGAATAATTGCCCTGTCCTTTTTCAGGCGTTGAACATGTATCACTTGGTGGCACAGAAACTGAGATGTCCATTCTAGTGCCTTCTTCAGCCTGCATAAATGTCACATAGATCCTAACTTATAAGATTAATGGTAATGCATGGAAATAAGAAGTTTTGGTTGCTTACCTCAAGTTCTCCAAGTACCAAATCGTCAAGTTCCTCGCAGATGAAAACTTCGTCTTCATCATCCAAACTTTAATTCACCAACAAGATTTAATCAAATCCAGAAACCATATAAACAAAAACAAGGACAGGACTAGAGATCACGAGATACAAATCAGTTACAATCTTAGATCGACATAGCTCCAAACACATGATCTTTCCTCAATAAACAAAGCTTGTGGATTCGTCGGAGATTTCACCGATTTAGCACGAGCGTAAGCTTCTTTGACTGAATCATATATCATATGTTTATATCATCTACCTTATATCATATGTAAATCATCTATAGATACCAAAACCACTCTCTTTGTTCAGAATTCGTAAAGCATCTATTTATCAATAGTTTCCAATTACAAGTTTCATCTACTTAAGATTTCTAATGCAATCAAGCCCAACAATGAAAAAGGTAAGAGATGAACAATGACACATCAGAATTCTTTATGCTGAATCAATGAACGCACCTATAATTTGCCTAATTCCACAATAGAAAGCCATAATTCAACAATAAACGCCTAATTTCGTCAACACGATTGGGGAAGAAGAAGAAGCAAAAATTGGTGAAAGAGATCGATTTATACCAGTTTGAAGATCGAAAATAGGTGAAGATTTCTCCGTCGTCGGCAGATCTCTCCGTCGCCGGCAGCTCTCTCCGTCGCCGACAGCTATCACGTGAAATCGTCTCCGTCGCCTTATCGTGGATCGTGGAATGCTTTCTTTTCCTTTTTGTTTATTAAATTTATTAATTTTTTTAAAAGAGTGCTATTTTTGTCAAATAAACTAAGAGGTGCTATTTTTGTCACAAAAACTTCATTTAGGGCTATTGGAGACCATTTCTCTTAAAAGTTTGTAACCCTATTTTACATAATCATATTTCAGTGATGCTCTGATTTTAAAATACATACGCTCATCAATATTTACAAGTGTTTAAATGAGTTATTAGCTCATGACTCAACTAGTTCAACATGATTATTAGTTCAAATGATGTTTTATAGATTTGATTAATGAAAAAATTTAAGAGATCAAGTTAAATTGAGGTGGTGTATTATATGATTAAGCTGTAATAGGTTCAAACTTTTTTTTGAGAATGAAATTAATATAGATTTATGTTGTAAATATATAGACACAAATATACCTACTAAAGCCAGAAAAATTGTTTATAGGGGTCAATTTTTTTTAATATATAAAATATATAACTTTATTAAAAAATATATATATAATCAAAGTATAATTTTTAGAAATTTTTTAAGAATTATTTATATCTTGTAAATATTTTATTATTTTTTTCGTTTGTCACAGTGTTACGTATTTTTCATTCAAAAACTAGAAAGTTATTTGAAATTGTATCAACAATATGATTACGTGAAGTCGTTTTCAAAATATTCATAGTAAAGAAATTTCTTTCAACTGTTGCAATTGCAAATTAAACTTCAAAAATAGTTTTAAAAGTCGATAAAAAAAATGAAACATATTTTTCCTTTTAATATACGAACAAAATCATTAAAACGTTTCATGTCAAACTTAAAGGTATATAAATTTTAACTTAAAATTTTATTTCCAATATGATTTTCAATGGATAATGTTAATTGAAATAGAGGAAAAAGGAAAAAAAAATCATAAAGTAGCGAAAGAATAGTGATAATTAGGTGGAACTCATTTTAATGGATATATCTTTATTTTTTAATTTATTTTTATATTTATTTGTAATGAGTTTAATTATAATAATTCTTTTTGATATATAATATTTAGTGGTTTTCTTTTAAATTAAAATTTGATTGGGGTCAAATTTTATTTTGTAATGGGGTCAATTTATAAATGATTAATCAAATTAAACTAAGTTTTTAAAATCCATGGGTGTCAATTGACCCCCATGGTACAACACTACCTCCGCCACTGAGCATACGTTCTTTATCTAGTTTAATTAAAACAAAAAATATAAAAAATTATTTACCCTTACTTGGAAACTTGATATTTTTCCAACATAGAGATGAAGAGGAAGAACATCATTGCTATATTATCCCAAGACTATAAATATATACTCCCTCCGTTTTCGAATAAATATCGTTTTAGAGAATTTTTTTTGTTTTTAATTAGTTGTCGTTTTCAGTTTTCGATGCAAAATTTATTATTTTTTTATTTTTATATTTATTTTTATTATGCAACTTGATTTACTATTGGTTAAATTATGTTTAGGTAGATAATTAGTGATATTTTTATATTGAAAAACTAACAACATTAATAGTTTCTTAATTTGTGTGCATATAGTTAAAACGACAACTATTCGAAAACGGAGGGAAATTTAACAACCATTTTAAATGATCGTTGCATGATTTTGGATTTGTATACTTTATTTTTGTTACACATTATTTTTTGTTTAGAATTTGACAAAAACCTTAGTTGGATTATATTTTAAATTATTGACTAGAAAACTCTTAAGGTTGATTTTTTGGATATTTTTTATTTAATTTGAATGGATAAAACAAAAGATTATTCATACTAGTTTCTATAATACATGGCGTGGATTAGGGCTGGGCAAAATATCCATTAGATTCGCTTCGATCCGTTATTCGATTCGATTCGATTTGAAAAATCCGGATATCCGTAACTTTTCGAAGCAAATCAAATATTAAAAATAGGTATTCGTAAAAAACGGAGCAAATATCAAATACTATAATTCAAATTGGCGGATATCCGCTTCGCTCCAGAATACATACATATATATAGATTATTACATATATAAATTATAATTTTATTATTCTTATAAGAGTTTTATAATTTTTAATCTCCGAATTAATTATTTGAACTACTAGTTTGAACAATTAAAAGAGAAATATATATATTTTTGATTAAATATTACTACTTTTAATAAAATTTTACAATGATTGGATTAGATTTTTTTTTAAAAATTTTAAACAAATACTTAACGGAACGAATATCCAGCAAATAGTTTGGATTTTAACGGATATACGAACAGCCGGATATCCGGTCACTAACAAAGCAAATTAAATACGAATTGGAAAACTTAGTATTCGGAAAAAATGAATCGAATAACAAATACCATTAAAAATCAGGATATCAGCTCCGTGCACACCCCTAGCATGGATACATAAAAGTATATATCTCCACACATTCCATTTGAATACAAAATACGATTACACGGCCCAATACGTACGTAACAATTTAGTTTACATTGTTTGAAACCAATACAATTCAAGCATCATTTAGCAAGTAACAAACAAAACATGGTCGAGTTCTGTCAATATACAACGATGAAGTGAAGAAAAAAAGAAAAAAAAAACAAAAAGAGCAAAGAAAGGCTGAAATAGAAATAAAGAAAAATTG